AATAAATAAATAAATAAAAGTAATAACAAAAATTTAAAAAGAATGTAAAGTACCAAGTACTATGCCTCACACCGGCTATATGTTAAGTAAATAAACAGTAGTCATTAAGTGGAATTAATTCAGTCAGAAAATAGTTTTATACTTTCTGTAACATAGTTCCAGATGGTTTTTCAAGAGGATTTACCTAATTGCCTGGATGGCTAGCAGTATGTAATGGTGCCTCGTTCCCCACAGTGCTGCCAATATCACAGACCATCATTTTTACACATTTTTCCTAGTCTAGACAGTATGTAATGGTATGGCAGGGTTATTTTAACTTTCATTTCTTTAATTGCTAGTGAGGCTGTGCATTTTTCTTTGGGATGATTTATTAGCTGTGTTTGTTTGCCAAACAACTATTTTCAAACCGTGTAATTTCTACCAGCTTATCCTTGTAGACATTATGTTAGGTTCTGACAGAGAATTTTGCTGATCAATTAAAAAAAAAAGAAAGAAAGAAAAAGAAAAAAAGGATTTGACAGAGAGAGAGAAATAAAACTTTCCAAGGACGGGATAGTGACAAAAGATAAGAGCTCATCCCCAAAGCAGCACTGTCCTGTAGAACTTTCTATGATAAAGGAAATGTTCTGTATCTGCAATGTCCCATATAGTAACCAGTTGCCACATGTGTCTAAATACTAAACACTTGGAATATGACTGGTGTGACTGAGGAATTTTTATTTTATTTTATTTTTTTTTAAGGTTTTATTTATTTGACAGAGAGAAAGACAGCCAGAGAGGGAACACAAGCAGGGGGAGTGGGAGAGGGAGAAGCAGGCTTCCTGTGGAGCAGGGAGCCTGATGCGGGGCTCGATCCCAGGACCCTGGGATCATGACCTGAGCCGAAAGGCAGATACTTAATGACTGGGCCACCCAGGCGCCCCAGGAATTTTTATTTTTATTCAACTTAAATTTCCATAAAAATAGCCACCTCCTTGATAGAGTAACCCCAGAGATTAGGAAAGAAGGAGAGAAAGCAAGGGAAAAGAGGAGCTCTACAGAATCGGAAGTGGCCTCATTTATGTGAAGGGACTCAGGGTGCCTGGCTGGCTCAGCTGGTAAAGTTCAAGCCCCATGCTGGGTGTAGCAATTACTTAAAAATAAATAAATAAAATCAATCAATCAATCAATCTCTCTTAAGATTTTATTTATTTCTTTGAGACAGAGAGCACAAGCAGGGAGGAGGATCAGAGGGAGAGGGAGAGGCAGACTCCCAGCTGAGCAGGGAACCCAATGTGGGGCTTGATCCCAGGATCCGGAGATCATAACCTGAGCTGAAGGCAGACGCTTAACCATCTGAGCCACCCAGGCGCCCCTAAATAAATCTCTTTTTAAAAAAAATAAAGGGGGGACACCTGGGTGGCTCAGTTGGTTAAGCGTCTGCCTTCACCTCGAGTCATGATCCAAGGGTCCTGGGATGGATCCCGGATCGGGCTCCTTGCTCAGTGGGGAGCCTGCTTCTCCCTCTGCTGCTCCCCCTGCTTGTTCTCTCTCTCTCTCTCTGACAAATAAATAAATAAAATATTTTTTTAAAATATGAACGGGGGCACCTGGGTAGCTCAGTCAGTTAAGCAGCTGCCTTTGGCTCGGATCATGATCTCAGGGTCCTGGGATCAAGCCCTACATTGGGCTCATTGCTCATCTGGGAGCCTGCTTCTCCCTCTCCTTCTGCCTGCCGCTCTCCCTGCTTGTGCTCTCTCTCTGTGTCAAATAAATAAATAAAGTCTTTAAAAAAAAAAATATGAAGGGACTCAAATTGGACTTTTGGCATTGTTCCTGAGAGAGACAGTCCCAGAGACCACCAGTCTTGACAAGAAGGGTGTGTTTGGTCTGCAAAAATCTATCAAGCTATACATTGATGATATTTCCACTTTTCTATATGTATTTTACACTTCTATAAAAAGTTAAACAACGTTTGCTGCACTTTGTATTACCCTCTTTAGGCATTTCTCTCTCTGATTTTTAATTTGGCCGAATGAAAAATGAAAAACAATGGAAGGTGGCCAGTGACCCACTCTGGATGTGTGAGAGCCCCTAGAGGGCGCTCATCCCGCATCGGAGACTTTTTTAAAAAGCATTTTATTAGAGAGAACTCAGGTATCATACAATTCACCATTTAAAGTGTACGATTCCGTGGTTTTTAGTATGTTCACAGTGTTGTGCAGCCATCATCACAGTCAACTTTAGAATATTTTAGAATATTTTCACCCGCCCCCCGAAAGAAAGCCCCTTTCCCTTAACTATCACCCTCCTAACCCCTCGTCTTCCCTCCCAAGTAACAATTCATCTACTTTCTGTCTCTGTAGATTTGCTTATTCTGGATATTGTATCTGGCTTCTTTCACTTAGCACAATGTTTTCAAGGTTCACCCAGGCTGCAGCTTGTCTCAGTGTTTCCTTTTTATGGCTGAATAATATTCCATTATATGGACAGATGACATTTTGCTTATCCATTCATCTTTTGATGGACATTTGAGTTGTCTCAAACTTTTGTTGATTATGTGCACTGGCGACTTTTGCCGGTCCTGACAGGTGGGTCCTTCCTGCCACTTCTGGGAGATTGAGACCCAGGTTACTCAACCCCAGAAGACCCCATTCTCATTTTATTTAGATGGTGCTCTCAGGAGTGGACTGCAGTGTGAATGCCCCCCCAGAGTTGGCAACTCAGCAACTGTTGGGTGAAATCTGCAAGGATTTCTTGAGAAGGCAGAGCCTCCAGGCTTTCAGCCAAAGCTTTGTGCCCAGGAAGGTGTAAATAGGACCATGCTTCCCCAAGGGGATGTTTATCTGTGGCTGTATGGAAGAGACCATGCATATGTGGTCTGGAAACCTCAGACCACTCAGGAGAGCTCTCTTCACCCCATGCTTTACAAAAGATCCTTGAGAAGAGCCCAGCTAAATTCTAGTCTGACAAGTAATTATCAGAAGGGTATTTGGAACAGGAGCTCTCAAGCTTGATGCTCTTGGCACTTCAGTATTGGGGAGTGGCCAGTCCATAGCTCCTACTCAGGAGTTTGAAAATAATGCTACCAGATCCTGACCCCATAGGGAGAACAATCTCAGATTTGTAACCTGCCCATCCAGCTAGCCTGCAGAGGCAGATAAACCTTAACCTGCTCCACGTTCTTCTCCAGGGGACGGTTCTAGCTTCCCTGAGCCAGGATCTGATTAGGGGCTGTGAAAGGGCTCCTTGCAGTGGTGGTACTGGGGTTCAGGCTGTGTCTTAGCCTGACCTAGGGAGAGAGGAAATTCTAGACCATGATGCGCCACTCAGCAGGTGGCAGGGCGGTTCTAGATAAAGCCACAAGCCAAGGGACAGTTTGTACTAGGATAGAGCCTGCTGGGACTGCTGGCCAGGCATCTGAGAAGGAAAGGAGAGGAGAATATTGGAGAGAACCACAGCCATCAGTAGCATGGCTGGCCAGGGGCGGACTCCAGACCCTAGCTGGGCCACTCATGAATTTGGGATTGGAATTCAGAAAGAGCCAATTAATTTCTGTGAGTGGTTATATAACTGAGGTGATATACGGGGCAGCTATTTTCCACCACGAGCAGGAGAAAGCTGAATGAAGGAGACACACAGAGACATGGAGGGACCAAGAGAGAGGAAGAGGATGGCTTTGCTGTTGACAGCTTTCCAACACTCTTGTATCCTTAATAAATTTCCTTTATCAGGTAGTACGAGATGGCATCTCTAGTTGCAACCAAAAGAAACTTGGATGAGAAAGAATTTACACAGGGCAAGTTCTGTGTCCATCAATTACCCTCTGCTGAGAGAGAGACATACACCCAACAAATTAATTATAAATGATGCAATGAGTGTTGAAATCAGAGCAGAAGTCCAATTCCAAAAACAAAAAAACAAAAACCAAAACAAAAAAAAGTCCCATTCCAATTGGAATGAAGAACAAAGCAATGAAGGAGAGCCCACTGGTAACCAAAGAAAAGCCCATCAAAACAAGATTTTCTTCTGAGATTGCTAAAGAGATTTAAAAACAGTAATACTCGGAAGCACCTGGGTGGCAAAGTCAGTTAGGCATCTGACTCTGGTTTTGGCTCAGGTCATGATCTTGGTGTCATGGGATCGAGCCCCGCATCAGACTCCCCACTCAGCTTGGAGTCCTCTTGGGATTCTCTATCCCTCTCCCTCTGCTCCTCTGCTGATGCTCTCTCTCTCAAATAAATAAATAAATCTTAAAACAACAACAACAACAACAACACAGTAATAGTCAATGTGAGCAAAGGCAAAAGTGGGAGAAAAAACAGATACTCTTATTCTGTGGATGGAATTAATACAATCATTTTGGAGGGGAATTTGGTGTTATATATTAAGAACTTAAAGTGCTGAGTGCCTGGGTGGCTCAGTCAGTTAAGCATCTGCCTTCAGATCAGGTCATGATCTCAGGGTCCTGGGATGGAGCCCCACATTGGTCTCCCTGCTTAGTGGGGAGACTGCTTCTCCCTCTCCCTCTGCCACTCCCCCTGCTTGTGCATGCGTGCTCTCTCTCTGTCAAATAAATAAATAAAATATTAAAAGAAAAAAAAAGAACTCAAGTGCTCATATATTTTGACCCATAATTCTGCCTCTAGAAATCTGTCCTAAGGAAATAAGCAGCAATGTGCACTCACATTTATGTGGAAGAACATTAATCAGATCAACATTTATAATGGAGAACACTGGAAGTATATTTAATGCCCATCTATGGGAGCTTGGTGAACAAAATACTACTCAGATGTTAAAATGGTGTTCTCAAATGTGTTTCAACATGGAAAAAATTCTGCCATTCTTTGGGTTAGGGGTGTTTTTTCTGTGGTCACAAGTTGGCTCCAGTTTTGTAAAAAAGAAAAAAAAAGATATAACAATATTTATATGATTTGTTAAGGAAGTGCTCCCTGGAGAAACTGGTTAATAGATGGGGGAAGGAGGGTTGGGAAGAAGCCAAGTGAGTGCAGCCTGATCCCACGGGGACGTCTAAAGCAAAACTCACTTCAACAAATACTTTATGAATCCGCTTACATGGGGTACCCAGAACAGGCAAACTCATAGAGACAGACAGTAGAATAGAGGTTACGAGGGGCTGGAGAAGAGGGAATGCAGGGTTATTATGTAATCGGTATAGAATTTTAGTTTGGGATGATGAAAAAGTTCTAGAAACGGATAAATGGTTGGTGGATAGGTGGCAGGTGAGCAATATTTTGAATGTACTAATGCCACTGAACTGTACACTTAGAAATGGTTAAATGGCAACTTTTATGTTACATATGTATTACCACAATAAACAAAAAATAACACACATACAAGGGGCGCCTGGCTCAGTCAGTTAAGCGTCTGCCTTAGGCTCAGGTCATGATCCCAGGGTCCTGGGATGGAGCCCCGCATCCCATCAGGCTCCTTGCCCGGCAGGGAGCCTGCTTCTCCCTCTCCCTCTTCCTGCTGCTCCCCCTGTGTGGGCTCACTCTCTCTCAAATAAATAAATAAATAAATAAATCTTAAAAAAAAAAAAAGGTGTGGGACACACTGAAAGAGCACTAGGGGAAAAGAAGACAGTCCCAATATGAGCAGTGGAGGAAAGCCACTACCATACGTGGGACTGACAGGACAAAGGGAGGAGGTGGTGACAGAGCCCAGGGGCCAGACCTGTGTGTCAGGAGAGATAGCCATATGCGCTCTCTGCCCCAGAGACACCATCCGAGGCAGAAAGAAATAGGAATAACTACCCCAACTTCTCCCTCCCTCCTGCCCACCTCTCAGTCTCCTGCAAGCGTCTCCCATTGGCTGAAGGCAGCCAGAAGTGAACTGACCAGAGACCTAAGAAAAATGAAGCTGGCAGGATGCAGCCCTCTGCTAAACAGAGCAGAACAGGGGAAAAGGGAAGAATGGAATCTGAGGACAGCCAATGACCAGCACAGGTACCATTCTTCTATTCAGTAAATACATCCTAAGTGCACCCTATGTACCAGGACTCTGCTAGGTATTGGGGGTGATAAAGAGCCCACAGAAAGAGGACATAGGGGCGCCTGGGTGGCTCAGTCATTAAGTGTCTGCCTTCGGCTCGGGTCATGATCTCAGGGTCCTGGGATCAAGCCCCGCATCGGGTCCTGCTCAGCAGGAAGCCTGCTTCTCCCTCTCCCACTCCCCCTGCTTGTGTTCCCTCTCTTGCTGTGTCTCTGTCAAATAAAAAAAAAATATTTAGGGCGCCTGGGTGGCTCAGATGGTTAAGCGTCTGCCTTCGGCTCAGGTCATGATCTCAGGGTCCTGGGATCGAGTCCCGCATCGGGCTTCCTGCTCCTTGGGAGCCTGCTTCTCCCTCTGCCTCTCTCTCTCTGTCTCTGTCTCTCATGAATAAATAAATAAAATCTTTAAAAAAAAAAAATTTAAAAAAAAAAAAGAGAGAGAGCATAGTTTGGGGCAAGATAGAAGTGCTTCTATACAGCAGGAGGAAGCTTCCACCCCAAGAAGTCTGCCTCTAGCCCCTACTGTGCCTTGGTGCAAATCAGAAAAATGTGTCCCTCCAGGAGGACCCAGCCCCTTGGGCATACAGCCTGGCAAACAGCCGGGGCAAGCTGCGTAGTCCTGGGCAGGATACTATTTCCAAAAACAGCCCTAGAGATTCTGCTTTGTCTCTAGCAGGAATCCCTAACCTGAAGGCTCCTGGAGCAAGAGTCTCTAAAAGCACATCATCCAATCATTCATTTGACAAATACTTGTTGAGCAACTACTAGGTGCTGGGCCTCTCACCTAGGTCCTAGGGAGACAGCAGTGAAAAAACACAAAAACTTCTCCGACTTCAAATATGGCAACACGCCAATAATTGTCCACTATACGCAGAGATTGTAACAGGTGTTCATTGTACTATTATTATGCTTTTCCGTGTGTTTGAAATTTTTCACTCAAAAGTCGGAAGAAAAAAACCTTTGCCTTCGAAAAGACAATAAATATGTGTATACACACACATACATATGCCAATGTTCCACCACATGAAACAGGAATGAGGCTGGGAAAACAGGAAGCAGGAAAATGGGTTGTGAAGTATATATGGAGATTCCAGTTTTATTTATTTATTTTTAAAGATTTTATATCTTTATTTGCTAGAGAGCACAAGTAGGCAGAGCGGCAGGCAGAGGGAGAGGAGAAGCAGGCTCCCCCGCTGAGCAGAGAGCCCAATGTGGGGCTCGATCCCAGGACCTGGAGATCACGACCTGAGCCGAAGGCAGACGCTTAACGACTGAGCCACCCAGACGCCCCAAGATTCCGGTTTTAAATAGGGTGGTCCAGGGGCACCAGACTGGCTCAGTTGGTAGAGCATGTGACTCTTGATATCGGTGTCGAATTCAGGCCCCAAATTGGGCATAGAGTTTTTTTTGGGTTTTTTTAGGGCATAGAGATTACTTTTAAAAAAAGGTGATCCAGAAACTCCTTACTGAGATGATGATTTCTGAATAAAACCTTGAAGAAGAGGAAGGAATGATCTAGACTGCCATCTGTAGGAAGAGATGTCCTGGCAGAAGGAACAGAAGAGACAAAAACCCCGAGGCAGGAACATGCCCAGCATTTTCCAGGAAGAGCAAGGAAGCAAGTGTGTGGCTGGAGCAGAGTGAGACTGGGTGCCAGAAGTAGGGGACAGGGTCATAGAGGAAAGGGGAGGGAGGTGGGCAGATGACGGGGAACTCTGAAGGCCCTTGCGGGGACTGTAGCTTTTACTCTGAGTGACAGGGGGGCCACTGTAAGGATGTGAACCCAGGAGAGGCGTGAGGAGTGACATGGGCTGACTTGTGTGTCTAAAATACAAGCATCTTCAAGGGGTGGAGGGTCTGCACAACTTCTCTCAGATTCTTAAAGGTGTCTAGTAGACCCCTCCACCCCACAAGACTAAGAATCGGAGTGACGTGGGTTTTCCCTTCACATTTTGCCGCTTTGTCTTCGAAACACGGCAGGAAAGCCTTTAACCCTTTCCTGTCTGCTTGGGGTGCTGTATTTGCCCTGGGGACCCCCAGACGGGGAGGGCAGTAGCCTCCCGGGGCCCACCGGGGCCCACGCTCCGCGGATATCGGGTCTTCGGGCTCGCCCACCAGCCTTTTGGCCACCAGGCCGATGTCCCAGGCGGCACTCGACCTGCACAGGCCCTAAGACGTCCTTCCCCACGCCCCCGATTGTGCACCCTTCCCGCCGCGCAGCAAACTCACGGTCTCCGCAGGAAGGGGCGGGCTCTGCCGGCGGCTTTGCTGGGCCCCGCGTTGCCATAGCGACCCCAGCCGGGCCGGGGACGCCCGAGCAAGCGGGGCACTCGGTTACTGAGGAGGGAGGCTGCCACCCCATCGCTCCGGTCCACGCGGCTGCGGATCCAGGCGCCGCCCCGCAGGTGAGCTGGCGCAGGTGGGTGGGGTGGGGGCTCGGGATGGCCCCCCAGCCGTCTGGGCCCCGCCCCTCCGCCTTCCATTGTGGTTAATTTATTATTTAGACTCAAACCAACCGGGCAGAGTCCCTGTCTCGCCTCACAAGGCTTTCTTTTCCTATCGGTAGCTCACGTATTAAGACCGCAACCTGCTCTTGAGCAGAACCCTTGCTCCCAAGAAAGAGTGGGACAGAGGACGATTTCATATTACACTGATGAGACATTAAGTAACACCCAGTGACATCGTAAAAAAGTTATTAGGTTCTAGGTTCCCTTACACTTCTGAGTAAACCAAAGAGAAAGTGTCATTTCGGGGCTAACAGGGCATTAACACCTTTCTGAACATTTGCTCATCTCAACTGTAAGCCACAGTATCTAGCTAAGACTTAAGGTGGTTTCTTTATAGTATTTTTATTTTTACAGTGCCTTCCCCTTATGGTATCTGATACTGGTTTACCTTTTTTTTTTAAAAGATTTTATTTATTTATTTATTTGACAGAGAGAGAGATAGTGAGAGCAGGAACACAAGCAGGGGGAGTGGGAGAGGGAGAAGCAGGCTTACCGCCAAGCAGGGAGCCCGATGCGGGGCTCGATCCCAGGACCCTGGGATCATGACCTGAGCCGAAGGCCGACGCTTAATGATTGAGCCACCCAGGTGCCCCTGGTTTTCCATTTATAGTAATGATATGTAGTTTCTTTCTTGGATAAATATTATTGACTTTTTTAAGTGAATTAATTTACATACAAAGATTCATCGTTGTGGTGGTACTAGGAAATGGGAGGAAAAAAAGAAAAACGTTAAATTTAGGATCTGAAACTGTTTCCTTCCTCCTAGCTTTTGCCCTTGCTGTTTTCTTTGCCAGGAGTGACTTACCCTGTTCCTAGGCATGATTGTCAAAATATGTGTCAGCCAGTGTGGATGATCAGCCTGGTCAGACTCCTGGAGACCCTGCTATAGCCCAACAGCAGGAACTCCTTCATGTGCAGGTCCAGTCAAAATGAAAAAGGGGGCCCTCACTCATAAAGTATTAAGAATTTAAAAACAGTGACAGCAAAGGAGTAAGCCAAGCACGGGCCCTTCTAAGGGTGGGCCCTGTTCGACTGCGCGGGTTGCACACCCGTGAGGCTGGCCTTGTGTGGGTGAATGCCTGGGACACCATGATCTGACACCTGCTCAGCCCAGAGGTCATTCTAATTGGTCAGCACCTCTCATGCTAGTGGTTAAATATTTCACTCCAGCCCCTGCTGCTAGCAGCACTTGGTGTGTGTGTGTGTGTGTGTGTGTATCCCCCAAACACATGGAGCAGGATAGATGGTATTTGCTGAGGGGAGACAGATCCCCATGATTTGGAGGAGACCATCTTTATCACCTTGCAGGAGCCCCATGGGGACAGACAGATAGGCATGAATGTCCACACTGGAGATCTTGGGGACATAAGGAGCACAGGTGGGGGGCTCCCAGACCAAGGAGAGACCCTAGACCACCCAAAGTTTCTCTGCAACCCCATCAGGCACGGCGGGGAGGAGAGCCCTGGTCTGATGGAAAAACCTAACCAGGTAATAAGGCAGACAAGTAGAATATCTGGGGGGCGCCTGGGTGCCTCAGTCGGTAAGCATCTGCCTTCAGCTCAGGTCATGATCCCAGGGTCCTGGGATCGAGCCCCGCATCGGGCTCCCTGCTCCGTGGGAAGCCTGCTTCTCCCTCTCCCACTCCCCCTGCTTGTGTTCCCTCTCTAGCTGTCTCTCTCTCTCTGTGTCAAATAAATAAATAAATAAAATCTTTAAAAAAAAAAAAAAGTAGAATATCTGGGCAGAGTGTCCAGCCATCCTAGTGTTCCTGGGACTGTCCCAGTTTCAGCACTGAAGTCCAAGTTCCTAGGAAACCCCTCAGTCCTAGGCAAACCCAGACAGTCGGTCACCTAGAGGTAGTATCTTTAGTTGGTGGGTTCCCCCAACAGCTTCTTTACTTCTAATTTAAAAAAAAAAAAATTTAAAGATTTTATTTATTCATTTGAGAGAGGGAAAGAACAAGTGGAGGGCAGAGGCAGAGGGAGAAGCAGGCTCCCCGCTGAGCAGGGACTAGACCCCGGGACCCTGGGATCATGACCTGAGCCAAAGGCAGATGCTTCACTGACTGAGCCACCCAGGTGCCCTCTTTTTTTTTTTTTTTAAGATTTTATTTATTTATTTGGCAGAGAGAGAGCAAGAGAGCACAGCAGGGGGAGCGGCAGAGGGAGAGGGAGAAGCAGGCTCCCCGCTGAGCAGGGAGCCCAATGTTGGGACTTGATCCCAGGACCCTGGGATCATGACCTGAGCCGAAGGCAGACGCTTCACTGACTGAGCCACCCAGGTGCCCTCTTTTTTTTTTTTTTAAGATTTTATTTATTTATTTGGCAGAGAGAGAGCGAGAGAGCACAGCAGGGGGAGCGGCAGAGGGAGAGGGAGAAGCAGGCTCCCCGCTGAGCAGGGAGCCTGATGGGGGGCATCCTTCCCAGGACCCTGGGATCATGACCTGAGCTGAAGGCAGACGCTTAACGACTGAGCCACCCAGGCGCCCCTCCCCTGACAGCTTCTAAAGCCAGGCCCTGGATGTTTCCAGCACCCTCTAAAAGATAAGGCAGCACCAAAGGGGCTACAGTGTTGGGTACTGGGTCCAGGGAAAGGGTCCCCGTAGGCTGTGGCTATCTCCCAGCCCACAGTGGCCTGGCTCCCCCCAACACACACATGCACACCTCCTGCAGTGGATCCCAGTGCTCACCACTGGGGCCTCCAGGCCAAGCTCTAGCCTTAGGGCCAGCATCCACTCTGATTGGTCATACTGGTTATTAAATATGTGACTGCCAACCACTGGTGGGGGGAAGCTTCTTTCTGATGCCATCACAAACCCCCCTCCTCTACTGGTTTCCCTGGGTTCCCAAGCAATTGTGTCATCAGACCCACCTCAGCGGGGCCCTAGAGATGCAAAGGAGCTGACAGGCAAGGGTCAGTCCAGCACAGAAGGGTCACCCTCAAAGGGCTGCTTGCTCATCTGCCCGGGGACTCAGAACATACATGACTCATGTCATTTGGGCTCAGACAAGCGCCTCCCCAGGAAGCCCCAGGATCCTGGCACTACTAGGGGCACACTGAGCCCCTGATGTTCCTAACCCTCTGCCAGCACCCCCTAGCCCCACAGAAGCAGCCAACATGCCCATCTCCAAGTGCTTGCAAAAGTCGGAGCCCCTGTGGAAGCGGTGGGACCGGAAAGCCCAAAAGAACGGCCTGAGGCACCAGGTGTATGCTGTCAGCGGCGACTGCTATGTGGGCGAGTGGAAGGACAACCTGAAGCACGGTGAGTGGGGGACCTCAGGGGCCCCGGGGGCTAGTGTGGAGTCGGGACCATGGTGGGTGACTGGGACCTGACTGGGGCCAAGGAAGTCGCTGGCAGAGCTCACTGGGGACATAAGATGTGTCCCCAAGGCTCCCTCAAGGGGTGAATGCCACTGACCTGGGCCAGCCAGGGGTCTCCACTTGCTGAGGCTCTGGAACCAAACTCAGCCCTGATGTCAGATGAGCGAAGCCCTCAGGGGCCAGCAGGGGACAAAGTGGTCTTGAGATACCAACCATAACCACAGCCAGGGTTCTAGGGACTCCAGCTCAGTCCCACCCTCTCAGACCTGAGCTAAACATGGGGCTGGCTAGCAGGAGGATCAGGTGCCCCCCCAACCCAGCTCACAATGGGGATTCAAACGGCTCTGACGTGGGAGTCTGACCAGCAGTGGGTTAGGAAGGACACACACACACACACACACACACACACAACTAGCTGGGGCTTTTACTTTAACTGCAACTTTTTAAAGATTTTATTTATTTATCTGAGAGACAGCAAGAGAGAGAGAGAGCACAAGCAGGAGGGAAGGGCAGAGGGAGAGGGAGAAGCAGACTCCTGGACTCTAGGATCATGACCTGAGCCGAAGGCAGACACTTAACTGACTGAGCCATCCAGGCGTCCCACTTTAACTGCAACTTTAACTGGCAAATGGCATGGGGGTTCCTTGTGACACAAACTAAGCCCTGAAGAAAAACGAGTGTTTTTTGTTTTTGTTTTTGTTTTTAGTTTTATTTATTTAGGGGCACCTGGCTGGCTCAGTCAGTTGAGCATATGACTATTGATCTCGGGGTTGTAAGTTTGAGCCCCGTGTTGGGTGTAGATTACTTAAAAATAAAATCTTTTTTTTAAAGATTTATTTATTTCAGAGAGAGAGAGAGAGGGAGAGCATGAGCGGGAGGGGCAGAGGGAGAGGGAGAGAGAATCTCAAGTGGACTCCACACTAAGCATGGATGGAGGCTGATGTGGGGCTGGGTCTCACGGCCCTGAAATCATGACCTGAGCCAAAATCAAGAGTTGGACACTTAACTGACTCCGCCATCCAGGCGCCCCTTAAAAATGAAATCTTAAAAAAAAGTTTTATTTATTTAAGTAATTTCTACACCCAACATGGAGTTCGAACTCATGACCCTGGGATCAAGAGTCACGTGCTCTTCTGAGCCAGCCAAGCACCCCGAGAAAAACAAGTTTCGATTAAAAAAAGATGGTATGGCTTCTTAGGTCTTACAATTCCAGATTCTAAGCCTCTTAACCACTTTTTTCTCCTGCCTTCCTGAGTTAAGTACTTAGGAGTCCAGAATCCTGGGTAAGAATCTCAGCTCCACCAACATATGACCTTGAGCGACTAATTACCCCACTCTGAGCCTCAGTGTCCCATTCTGTAAAATGGGAAAATGCCTATTGGTAAGGATAAGAGATGACATCCACCAAGTGTGTAGCCCAGGGTCTGTGCAGAAGGGTCTGTGAGTGTTTGAGGGCTGAGCATGGCAGGGATCACCACTACTCAGAACTTTCCTAATCCAGAAGCACTCCAAAGTTGACCCCTCCTAGTGTGTGACTTTGGGTAAGCCATCTCCCATTCTCTGGATCTCAGCTGCCCCACCTGTGATATGAACTTATGGGTTGACATGGTCCTCTGAGCCCTCCTTCGGTGTGAGTCCTGCCTCCCCTAGGACCCTGGAGACATAGAGCTGTTTGGGCTGAGGCTATAGAAAATGGACCTGTCAGGAAATCCAGACCCAGCCTCCCCTCTCTTTAAGACACACCTTTGACCAAGCCAACGGGGGTTGCTGTGGTATAAGCGGACTGGAAGCAGTCAAGAGAGTCATCATCATGCAGGGCAAGGATTGGGTGGCCAGTGGTTCCCCTGACTGCTCATTTGTTCACTCCGCTAACCACTATGGCGCTCCTAGTCCACATCAGGCCCTCTACTGGGCATCTGGCATGCTGCCAACCTTCAGGGAGCTCCAGTCTCACAGAGGACCTGCACAATAAGTAATATCCCACTTTACAGAGGAGGAAACTGGGGCTCAGAGGGAGGAAATGACTTACTGAGGGTCACATGGCTAAAAGTGGTGGCATTAGCCTGTACGTGCTAAATGGCCTGGAGGCGGAGGCCAGCTTCCCAGGAAACAAAGCAAACATGCTGTCTCAAGACTTCGTGGACCATGTACACTACATGGCGGAGAACCAGGGGCCCTGTTTCAGACCGGGATGAGAAGGATTACTGTCAAGATACCCTGAAACAGATTCGGAGTAAGACCAACGTCTATAAGCGTTTTTACCCAACAGAGTGGCAAGCCTTCCTCGATGCCTTGCAGAGGAATAAGATGGAGACTGAGTGAGTGGCTTAGGCCTCCTCCTGGACCAGAGAAGCTGGAGACAGGGTTTAATGTTTTAGGCAAGGAGGAGCATGTGGCTAGATCTCTCTCTCACACACACACACACACACACACACACACCCCTACACACACACACACACAACCCTCTCTGGGGAAAGAATGGTCTCCCAGAGGTTTCTGAGGGCTCTGGGAAAAGCCAGAACCTGCTGTTTTCAGAGTGGGTGGTTTGTTTAAATATAGTCTGCACATAATAAAACAAGGCTATTTTACTTCAAAAAAGTAAAAATAAAAATAAAAGTGGTGGCATCAGGATATGAAGGGGACCAGAGAGGAGACATGAAAGTGGCCATGAAAACAGAGAGAGGTGATGTTTGAGCTGAGCACACGAGGATAAGGATTAGCTCGGCACAAGGGCATGTCTTCTCGATAGTGGAATCAGAATGGAAGGATTTGGGGGGGTGGTAATTAAGTCTTGCTCAAGGAACAGACTGGAAGCCAGTGTGCCCAGAGCAGAGAGAGTGAGGAGAGAGAATGGGCACACCAGGGGTCCAACCACACAAAACTTTATAAGAAGGGATAAATTTGCCTTTATCCCAGAAGCAAACAGTCCCATCTCACTTGGATCACATGCCCTTCACTGAACCAATCACAGTGGCCCGAGCTGGTTGGTTAGAGTTGCCAGAGGGAGGAGCCAGATCCATGCAAACCTTCAGGATTGAGAGCTCAGGAGGGGCTTGTTCCCCCAAAGAAATAAAACTAAAAGAAGGACAGGTAGAAAAACCGGGTGAGAGCTCTACCTCACGTGCACAAATAATTGGTAACATCTTTTGTATTTGCAGGCACTGTTCTAAGTGTTTTCCTTATGTTAATGAATTTAGTGATCAGTACAACCCCATGAGATATTCTCATCCCCGTTTTACAGATGAGGAGCCTGAGGCCCAGGGAGTTAAGTTACTCGCCCTAGATTAAAAAGCTCACAGGGACAATGTTGGATTTGTTCCTGAGCTACTAAGGACCAAGACATGAATTAGCCCATATAGGTACTCCACAAATATTTTATTCATCCCTTTGTTCAACAAATGTCCTTGTTCAACATATATTGGTCAGCTGCAACGTGCCAGGCACTGTTCTTCAGTGTGGGAATAGAGCAGTGAACAAAATAGACCAAAGTTTGTGTCCTCATGGAGTGCACTTTCTCATGGAGAGCTAGACAATAGACAATAAATGATAAATAAATGAATTGTCTGATAGGAGTTGCTAAGCGATATGGAAAGAAACAGAGCAGGGTAAGGGGGTAGGATAGGCTTGTGATTTTATATGGGATGGTCAGGGCAGGCCTCATTGAGAAAATAAATTTGAACAGAGACTTGGAGGAGGTAGGGAGTGACTGAATATTTGGAGAAGAGCATTCCAGGCCAAAGGACAAACAGGTACAAAGACCCTGAGGCAGAAGCATATCTGGTGGGTTCCGTGGAGGCCATAGTGGTTGGAGGGCAATCTGGAAGTTGGGAGTGGAAGACACAGATGAGGCTGGAGTGGTAGGATATAGGTCTCCATGTGTGTTTCTGAGAACTGAAGAAATATGCAGAACATTTTCTAGAAACTCTAGCCATCTGGTGTAACCTTTGAGTATTATTAAGAGATGAAGCTCATTATTATTAAGAAAAGAAGAAGGGGCAGATTTCTACTTGGGGGTTGCTGTGTCAATCTGGCTTCAGGGCAAAGGGCTGGAGAATTGCTATTTGTAGAAATGGAACTTTCTTGGGGTTTTCACTGGTGATGGGGGTCTAGAGAGGAGGCACAGACCCTGGCTCAGCCCTTGAGAAGGTCACCAAGTCTTCTAGGGGCCCCTGAGGCCAAGGCAGACCCAGCACCTGCCCCTCCAGCCCCATGGCTGCCATGTCTGCAGTGTCGGCCCATCTGTGTGTCATCAGGAAAGGGAACACAGATCTGGAAGAAGAAAGGAGCCATCTATGAGGGAGACTGGAAGTTTGGGAAGCGAGATGGCTATGGCACCCTCAGCTTTCCTGACCAAGAGATGGGAAAGCCCAGGAAAGTATACTCTGGCTGGTGGAAAGACGATAAAAAATCGGTGAGTGGTTCCCATCATGCCGTGCACCTGTTTGCGCTCATGATGGAGTGTGGGCCAGGCTGAAAGTGGGCTCTGTGTGTGTGTGTGTGTGTGTGTGTGTAGGGGGAGCAGTCAGAGAGTCCTGGGAGAAAAAGGAGGAGGGTTGAGGGAACGAGGACAAGAGTACTGTGTTCGTGGGAGAAGGAAGGGGTGGGAAATCATCCAGGCTTCTCAGAACAAAACCCAGGAAACAGGAAGCAAGAGGAGAGGGCCCAGGGAGGAGCCCAAGAAGCCCTGTGGCACAAGAAACCAGCCAGGCTGTGGGGGGGCCAACTCTCCTCCCTGTCTGCCCCACTCATTTCCTGGCTTTCTTCTCCCTGGGCATTCCTTTCTGAGAATCCCCCTTCTGTTGGACCGACACAAGAAGGGGGTAGGAAAAGTGGGAGCAAGAAAGCAGAGGCCACACCCTTGGCCACAGGACAAGACAGGAAGGTCCTGGAGGTAGAAGCCAGCCAGAGGCATGTCCTCAACCGAGAAATGCCTGAACCCTCCCGGTATCTCCAGAATGTGGCATACGGTGCTTCAACCAACTCACGAAGTCATCGTCATCATCATTCTCATTTTATTGATAAGGAAACAAGCCCGCAGAGGTGAGGTGACTTGCTTAAGGTCACACACTGCTGGCGAGTGGTAGAGCTCAGGATTTCGTGACCTCTGTGCTCAAACTGTTTATTGGCCAGTGGGGAGAGAGATTTCCCAAAATAAACAATTCGCATACAATATGGTGTTAGGATAGAGGTTTCCCCAGGGAGCCCACAGGAATATTGAGAATTCAGGGCAGACTTCCTGTAGGAGGTAATACCAAAAGGTACAAAGAGTTAACCAGGGAGGGGAAAAAAGGAGAAGGGGAAGTAGCAAAGTAGTGAGAAGTAGCAAAGAATATGTCAAACAGCAAGGTGTGTGTGCCTACGGGGGTGAGAGTGAGGGGAGGGGTAGATGGGGGCCTTGAAAGGCACGTGGGGAATCAGGATTTTGAAGAGTAAACTTGGGCTGCTTAACCCAACTTCCTTAAGGTGTGATCTGCGGAGAGTCCATGATTCTCTGTGGTTGGACACTGAGGGTGGTGTTCATTTTTCTGGGGAGAAATCCATAACTTTGATCTGATTCTCAGAGGCATCTGCGACTTTTAAGAGGGTCAAATCAGAGCTGAGGAGAAGGGGCAAACGTGATCAGATGAGCGATGTAAAGATCCTTCTAGCTGCTTCACGGAAGATGCGTGCGGAGGGGAGAATGGGAGAGTGGAGGAGGAGGACCAGTGAGGAGGGGAGAAATGGTGGTGGGCTGCACGAAGGTGGTAGCAGAGGGGCGGAGGGGGACGGACAGCCTGGGGAGCTTTTCCAATGCACGATCATCAGTTTGGGATGTAGGGCTGAGGGAGGAAGCAAGGAAGGAGTCCAAGTGTGTGGCTTGGGTGTCAAGGAAGATAGGAGTGGCTTTCCTAGTGGTTGGGGGCGCCGTGACACGGACACCTTCGTGCTTTCAGGGCTATGGGATTCAGTTTTTCGGACCCAAGGAGTATTACGAGGGTGAGTGGTGTGGCAACCTGCGCAGCGGATGGGGCCGCATGTACTACAGCAACAGCGACATCTACGAGGGCCAGTGGTTGAACGACAAGCCGCATGGGGAGGGCATGCTGCGTCAGAGTAAGTGCCCCGCCCCGCCCCAGCCAGCCCCGCCCCAATGGCCTGCTGGCCACGCCCTCGGGGCAGCCCCGGTTGGTCCTGCGTGGCCACGCCCACTCCCCGCCCAGCCCCACTCCAGCTCTGCTCCGGTTAAGGTGAATGGCAGGACCAGATACCCGCCCGCCTGGGGTTTCTATACTAAAGGGGGAGCCTAACTAGACACATCAACAATTAAGACATTTTCTTATGGTCATAATAATTCTAGCCTACACTTACACAGCACTGAGCTCATTTAATCCTCACTACAGTTCTCTAAGATGGTATTCTGACCATCCCTTTATGTAAAAATGAACTGAGGCACAGATAGGTTAAGTCACTCGCTCAAGGTCAACATAGCTTGTTCATTGTGAGGTCAAAAGTGCTAAGGACAGGGGTGCCTGGGTGGCTAGGTTGGTTGGGCGTCTGCCTTCAGTTCAGGTCGTGATCCCAGGGTCCTGGGATGGAGGCCCACGGCAGGCTCCCTGCTCAGCGGGGAGGCTGCTTCTCCCTCTCCCACTGCCTGCCGTTCCCCCTGCCTGTGCTCTATCTTTGACAAATAAATAAATAAAATCTTTTTTTTAAAAAGTGCTAAGGACTATCCCTTTAAAATAGGAAGGTGTGTTGGAGAATGACAAAGGAGTTGGGGACAGGGGCTGTTTAGACAGACTTAGGGTCAGAGAATGTCTCCCTGAAGAGGTGACAGTTGAACAGAAGACCTGAAGGAAGAGGAGTCAGATACGCACTGAGCTAGGGAAGAACACTCCTAGGCAGAGCAGAGTCGTGAGTAAACCGCCTTAGCGTCAGGACTTAATCCATTCTCTACATAGCAACCAGCCTGAGCTTTTTACACATAGGACCCTATCACTAACCTGCTTTCAACCTTTCCATAGCTCCCTCCTACCCTCTGAGTTCAGAGCCCTTACTGTGGTCTGCAGGGTCTGCAGTCCTGGAGTAGTGCCTCCCACCCATGTCCCTTGGGAAACCCTCGGTTTCAGCCTTACTCATTTTCTTTCAGTTCCTCCCACACTTTTTGCCTCAGTTCCTCCCTCACCTTTTGCACTGCTGTTTTCTCTTCCTGCAATAGAAAGAAGATCCTTCAGGGCGCCTGGGTGGCTCAGATGGTTAAGCGTCTGCCTTCGGCTCAGGTCATGATCTCAGGGTCCTGGGATCGAGTCCCGCATCGGGTTCCCTGCTCAGTGCAGAGCCTGCTTCTCCCTCTCCCTCTGCCACTCCCTCTGCTTGTGCTCTTCTGTCTGTCTCTGTCAAATAAATAAAATCTTTATAAAAAAAAAAAAGAAAGAAAGAAGATCCTTCAGATCTCTGCACTGTCTCCTTCCCAGAGAGGCCTTCCCTGTTCATTCCACTAATGCACGTTCTCCTCAGTATCCTCAGCATCTGTTTCCTTTCCTTTTTAGCATATAATCTTGGGCAAGTTTCCTCCTCTCCGTGCCTCGGTTACCGGGAATAATAGTAGTACCTACAAAGTGGTACTACTATGAACAGGGTCTGGCACATAGTAGGCTATCTATAAAGCTAGTGTCATTGTCTCTCCAGACTGTGACCTAGACTGCACATCTATTTTGTTCCCCGTTGTTTTCCCAGTGCCTGGCACATAGTAGGTGCTCTTGGTGAGGACACAAACCTGAGCTCGGTCTCCTGAAAACTCAAGACTCCAATTTCCAATGAGATTTGGCCAAACTGAGGCATTAGGTCAGCTGAGGAGGGTTTAAACCAGCCATTTCTGTCTGTCATTCTCAATCCCCCATGCACCCAGCTCTGTGCTTGCTTTCAGTGAGCATCTACTAGTAACAGCCTGCACTTAGTGAGCACCTACTGTGGCCACACATAGTGTGAGGGCTCCAAGTGTATCATTTCTAGTGGCCTGACTCAAGCCAGCCTGCCTGGGTTCAAATCCTGGATCAAGCTCTTACTAGCTACATGACCTTCAGGCAATTTGCTTCAACTCTCTGTGCTTTGGTTTTCTCATCTGTAAATTAAGGATAAAAATACAACTTAACTAGGGTGCCTGGGTGGCTCAGATGGTTAAGCGTCTGCCTTCGGCTCAGGTCATGATCTCAGGGTCCTGGGATCGAGTCCTGCATCGGGCTTCCTGCTCCTTGGGAGCCTGCTTCTCCCTCTGCCTCTCTCTCTCTCTGTCTCTCATGAATAAATAAATAAAAATCTTAAAAAAAAATACAACTTAACTAGGGTTATTGAGAAAGTTAAATGAGGTTTGCAAAGCGCTGAGCATGGTGCCTGACACATAATAGTAAGTGCTCAAAATATTATTAGCTCATACTTGTATGTAGCAGGTATCATCAGACTACGATCCTTAGACCAAATCCAAATCCAGCTCAACACACGTTTTTGTAAGTAAAGTTTTATTGGCACACCAGACTTGCTCATTCATTTACATATTGTCCATGGCTGCTTTCACGCCACAATGGCAGAGTTGTGACAGAGACCCTGTGCCCCACAAAGCCGAAAACACTGTCTGACCCTTTACAGAAAAAGTTTGCTGACCTCTCATCTAGAGTTTATCCAGTACTCTTCTAAGTCCTTTCCGTGTATCGACTTATTTAATCTCCACAACAATTCTATGAGGTAGGTGCTTCTGTTATCCCCATTTTACAAATGAGGAAATGAGACAAAACGGTTAAGTGACTTGCCCAAGATCACATGGCTGTAAGGGTCTGAGCTGAGAAGCGTTAGCTTTATTAGTATTCCTTTTATGCCACCAGCAGCAGCAGCCGAGCAGGAGAGTGAATTCATGATTAAGAGCATGGGCTCCTGGGATAAACAGACCTTGGCTTCCAATCTTGTCTCTGCCACATCCTAGCTCTGTGACCTTGAGCAAGTCAGTCAGACTCCCTGAGCTTTTCAAGCTCCATCTGTAAAAAATGGAGTCGGTTATCCTTCATAGAACTGTTTTTGGGAGGAGCGAGTGAGGTCAGAAACAACAAAGAACCAGGCACAGAGTGAGTGCTGTAAAAACATTGCCTATTCATATCATTAGCTATGATTTTTTTACAAATAGGAAATGATGTTGTTCATCCAAGTTCAGGTAAGTAGTGGAGGCGAGAGGGGGACCAGGTCTGATTCCGGAAGTCACTGACACCCCCACCCCAGCCCCCACCCCACCCCGGGGCTCTGATGTGTATAGGTCAGTCCTCCCAGACCGCGAGCCCCCCAGCCTGGGGCACTCTCGTCAGCTGGGTTTCCTTTTGGCTTCCCCGTGGGCACAGTGTCCAACCTGGGAGTGCGGAGGGGCCAGCCTGGTAGTCTGGTCTGGTTAGGTGTGCCCAGCACCCACGTGACCCTGTCCTTTTTCCCCAGAGAATGGGAACCGCTACGAGGGCTACTGGCAGAGAGGCATGAAGAATGGGTCTGGCCGTTTTTTCCACCTGGACCACGGTCAGCTGTTTGAAGGCTTCTGGGTGGACAACGTGGCCAAGTGTGGCACAATGATTGACTTTGGACGCGATGAGGCCCCTGAGCCCACCCAGTTCCCCATTCCTAAGGTGGGCAGCACCCAGCAGGGCCCTGTGGCCACACCCAGAGACAGAACACGGCCCCCCCGCAGCCACATCCAGCCTGGCCAGGCCCAGCCCAGCCTGGCCGGGGAACAGACAAGGTTTTGTTTTCAGGCAGGCATCCCCGTGGAGACTGGCAGCAGCCCACAAGGCAGACAGCACCTCCAAAGTAGGCAGCACCCCAAAGGCTGGCAGCCTGGGCCTTCCATGCTCCTCAGTCCAACCCCTTACTGCTTCCCTCCAGATCAAAATTCTAGACCCTGATGGCGTGCTAGAGGAAGCCTTGGCCATGTTCAAGAAGACAGAGGAAGATTGATGCCAGGTGAGGGGCGGGCATGCTCTCCAGCCTCCGATGTGGTTAAGGCAGCTCTTGGGGTCTCCTTTGGCCAAGGAACCAGGAGCAGAAGGTGGGTTTCTTGCTTCCTCCAATCCAGCTGGTTCTTCTTGGTTCCTTCCCTTCAAAACTCATTTCCTTGAAGACCAGTTTGCTCCTGAACATCCTTGAGTAAGGTGGTTTGCCCCAGGCCTGCACCTGCACATCTGTCCCAGCCCCTCCTGGTGTGGGTATCAGGGGGTTTGAGGAGAGGGCACTGGTATGGCATCTTGAGCCGGCTCGAGTCACCGGCTCCCACCAGCCCCTTGCCCTCGCAGAGAGCACCCCAGAGCTTCCGGAGAAATTCAAGCCCGTCGCCCAACTGCTCAAACCGGTGCGGCTTCTGCAGGAGTTGAGTGGTGACTCGGGCACACCCTTGGCACTCTCTGAGGGCACCTCACTCTTCCCAGCACTGGGTTATTCTCTCCCCAGCTGACTTTGGGGACCCTCTTGTTACAGGCTTCATTCTTGGTCCTCATTCCTGAGAGCAAGAGTATAAAGGAGAACCTGGTGCCATCGGCCCTGGGCTCGTGGTGTGTGATTGGGATGGAGGGGGTGCAGCTCTGGAGGGACTTCAGGTGAAGAGGGAAGACGTCCCTGCAGGCTGCATGGATTTACCCTGGGCGAGAAAGAAGAGCCTGCGTCTGGTCACACTGGCCACTGAGATTTGGGGCTGAGAGCCGCCCTGGCTTCTCAGCCTAACACAGGAGGGCTCAACCTTGGGATCCTGTGGGAGCTTTAAAAGCTACGGACACCTAGGCCTCACGCCCAGACTCTCATGTGTCTGGGGTGAGGCCTGGGCCTTCAGAAAGTTCCCCCGATGATTCTAATGTGCAACTGGGGCCAGAATCCCTGAATTGCTGGCTTTGTGACCCTAAGCAAGTGACCTCAGCTGCCCTGCCTGTAAAATGGCACTTAGGAGATCTCACAGGGGTGTTTTTCAGGATTTGCTAACAGATGGAATAACAACAAATAACATGTATTGAGGTTGTGAAGCAGAGATCTGGGAAGAGGTTTGCATTATTCTAGACAACATTCTTCAAGATAAAAGGGATTCTTACATAATGGGTAAGAACACGAGCTCAGCAGTCAGACTGCCGGGGTGTGAATCGCAGCAGTGATTTAGGAGCTGTGTGTTCTCGGGTAGGGCACCCAACCTCTCTGTTCTCTAGGTTTCCTCCCCTCAAATACGGGGCAGTCATGGTCCTTGCCACTCAGGTTATTTGGTTAACATGAGGATGACATAAGGCATGTTCCTAATCCAAGAGTGATTTTGTCTCCCCGCCCTCCCTGGGGACATTTGGCGATGCCCAGAGACATTTCTGGTTGTCACACTGGCAGGGAAAAATATTACTGGCAACTAGTGGGTAGCCGTTGAGGATCCTGCTAAACACACTATAATGTGAACACTCAACAATAGAACTTTTCAGCCCAATGACCGAAGTGTAACCCTGCAATTCCATGATGTTCACTAAGGCCTCAGCAAGTGCCTGGCACACAGTAAAGGCTCCATAAACACTATTTCCTGTCTGCCTTCGAAATCCTAAGCAGGGCGTGGCCTAACCCAAAGGTATGGTTCTGTCTAGACCTCTCGCACCAGGAAACTGAGCCCGGCGCACTCGGGGGACACAGAACGTTCATTCGGAGATAGGCCCTGTGCTGACAGCTTCACCTGTCTCCCCCGCCCACTCCACCACATGACCCTACAACAACTTCTGAGGGTGCCTACTATTATGATTGCCATTTTAGAGGAGGAAGCAGCTTCACGGAGGCGCACAAGTCACAAAGCTACAAAGTAACTGTACTTAAACTTAGATCTATCTGCTCTTAGAGCGCAGAGAAGGCTACCTTTTTTTCTTTCCCCCCGCCCCCGGAAAAGTAGGGTGTGTTCTTGTTTATGCATGAAATCTCTCTAGATGGGGACACAACACACTTGCAACAATGGATGTCACTGGCGAGAACCGGGAACCTGGGAAGAGGGGAGGGCGTGCGACTTTTCACTGTTGTATTTGGAACCTGTGAATGTGTTTGTGTCTGAAATACAAAGAAAACTGATATGAAAGAGAGACTGTCCTTTAACTACTGGCATTTCCATGAGCTGCCTGGGTTTGAGCACCCGAGGTGTTAAAAACACAGATTCTAGGGGCGCCTGGGTGGCTCAGTCGGGTGAGTGTCCAACTCTTGATTTTGGCTCAGGTCATGATCTCAGGGTCGTGAGATTGAGCCCCATGTCGGGCTCTGTGCTGGACATGGAGCCTGCTTAAGATTCTCTCTCCCTCTCCCTCTGCCCCTTCCCCCCGCAAAAAATACAGATTCTGTATCTACCCAGACCAACTTTCCAGGGGAAAGGCTTGGAAATCTACATTTTACAAGCCAATCTGGTGATTCTTGACTTGGGGCAAGTTGAGGAAGGAACACCTAAGACTAGAGTCGTGGGCCGGGTATTATTGCAGCCAGCTCTCAGGTCTCTGCAGAAGCAGGGAGGGGGTGGGGGAGGGGAACGCATGGAAGATGGCTAGGTTTCCTCTGGGGAGCAATGGAGAGTTTCACACAGGGGCCCCTGCTCCCCACTATTCAGTCCTAGTTAGGGGGCTGTCCAGGGACTGGGGAGGGTGGGTCCTGGTGCATGTGATGCAAGATAGAGGCAAGAAGCTACAATAGGAAAAAAAAGGAAGGTCCTCTGCCCCACTCAGCCCACAAAGCTATTAGCATGTCCAAGTTTGCACAGGACAAGAACTTAAGGCCACACTTTCCCCCAACCGACTTTCACTTCAGTCAGAGGACTTTGTTTTGATAAAACCACGTTCTGTATTGGGTTTCTGGGACCATGGGGGGCCAGGCAAGTAACATAAACAAAGCTGGCCTGGTGTGAGACAAGAGGGAGTGGTGGGGACTGTGGCAAACACATCTCCTGGGGAAGGGGGTGGCTGTAACTCCTCTCCTTCTCACTGTTGCTCTGTGAGAAAGTGGGACCAGTGCTGCTGCTGGATCTTCCAATTTCTTAAGCAAAGACAAAATCAGCATGTAAGATTTTTGTGAGAGCTGGGCTCTGAGCCAGACTCTCCAGGTTCGAATTCTGGCCAATTACTTAATCTTTCTGGGCAAAAATTTCTGCCATCTGCAAAACAGAGATAAATATTCCTGCCAAGACACACATCCTGATTGTAACTGCGGGAAAATATGGGGGAAACCAGACTGAGGTAGCATTCTACAGAACCAAAGGCCTGGACTCCAAAAATGTCAATGTTAAAAAGGACAAGAAAAGGCTGCTCCAAATTTAAAGCAACCAAAGAGATGTGACAAGTGAATGCAACACATGAGCCTGAAGGGAAAAATCATGGCTAGAAAGGACATGATCAGGACAAGTGGAGAACTGAACACGAACGTCCTATTAAATAGTACTGCATCAATGTCAAATCTCCTGAATCCGATCAGTGAATTAAGGTTAGGGAGAAGAATGTCCTTGGTTTTAGGAGGAAGTATTTAGGCATGAAGGACAGTATCTGCAACTAAAGCATGTGGGCTCGGGAGAGAAACACACAGCTCATCCTCCTCATTCACAGCTTCAGTATTTGCCCGTCTCCTACTTGCTGAGTTCAAACAGGCGCTACTCTGCCTTCTTGTCTCAGCCTTCCTAAACAAGCGTCCTTTCACCATTTAGGGCCACATTTTTCACATTTGGTGCTTTTTGTCGGTGATTTTACCATTTTTTAAATTTTTTAATTTTTATTTTAAGGAGGCTCCATGCCCAACATGGGGCTTGAACTACATGACTCTGAGATCAAGAGTCACACGCTCCACCAACTGAGCCAGCCAGGCGCCCCAGTGATTTTGCTATTTAAAAAAGAAGGCAGTTGGGCACCTGGCTGGCTCAGTTGTTGGAGCGTGCGACTCTTGGTCTCGGGGTTTATGAGTTCAAGCCCCACGCTGGGTGTAGAGATTACTTTAAAAAAAATAAAATCTTTAAAAAGAAGGCAGTGATGTGCCTTACGGAGAAAATGCCTCTTGGAAAAGCTTCATTTAGGTACAAGTTATTGTGCTGTTAGCCGTAAGTGAGTTCATTGCTCATGAATCAACAATGTGTATTAAATAAGGCGTCTTTAAACAGAAACGCACATAGGGGCGCCTGACTGGCTCAGCTGGTAGAGCACACAACTCTTGATCTCGGGGTTGTGAGTCTGAGCCCCACGCTGTGTGTGGAGATTACTTAAAAATTAAAACAAAACAAAAACAGACAGAAACACATAAAACAAGGTTACCTACTGAATGCCTGGCAGAACATCATGACCAGGGGCTCATAGGAACCTAACCCCACAGGAGCAATGGCTCGATATCCACTAATTCCTAGAACACAACTGCTGTGAATGACACGAATTGACTGTCTATGTATTTCAGTTATTATTCGTGCAACTTTTTTGTAGGTTTGAAAATTTTCAAAATCAAATGTTAAAAATTTTTTTTGCTTAGAGGCTCACCTGATTGGGGCACCAGGAGAAATAATACCAGGCAGTCCAGACCCAACAAATACACACACAAGGTGTCCCTTATGAGTATATTTATGTGCGTGCACATACACGTGCATGCACACACACGCGTGCACACGCACACACACACACACACACACACACGACACCGAACGGGGAGGGAGGTCAAGACTGAAAAGACAAGAAGCATCCAAGTGGCAGGGGCACAGGGAGGAGGAGGGACAAAGGGAGCGTTTGTCCCCACCCTGGCTCCCACTGGTGGCCTCCTACCAGGAGGTGAACCCGAAGCTGGAAGAACAGGAACCGCTTATTCTCTCAGAGGAAAGTTTCAAAGTGCAGTCGTTTCTCTTAAAAAAAAAAAAAAAAAGCCTCTTCCCTCCACTCTCTGCCCCCTTACAAAAGCCCAATCCTCTGAGCTCGCTGTCCTTGAGGCTGGGGCAGGGCGAGGCCGTGGGGAGCGGCGTAAGGCCAGAGACCTGACGTGCCCGAGCCCAGAAGGGCTTACGCATAGTGGCTGGCGGGTGTCAGGGGGTGATCCCCTCTGTGGTCCAGCTGGTCCTGCAGGCGGGCAAACTCAGCCAGCTCGTTGAGCTCCTGGAACTGTCGGTCCGTCTTATGGCTGACCAGCGAGCGGTAGAAGTGGACGGCAAAGACGATAAAGACCAGGCCGAAGGGGACCATGATGGTAGTAGAGGCGATGGCAGCAGCCTGGCCCGGGGTGATGCCGCCGGTGCTGCTGTTGACGCTGGCCACTGCGCCACCGGCCGTGGGCTTGCTGGTGGGCCGGGGCTGCCCCGGCTGCTTCTTGAGGGGCAAGAACTTGACCCAGCAGAGCAGCACGACCTCGGCCAGGAAAAGCAACGTGCCGATGACGGTGGAGAAGGCCCAGGCTAGCTCGATGTGGCGGTGCATGCGCTCATGGGGCGACTCCTTGACCGAGTTGAGGTTGTGCACGTTGCTCACCGCCTCGATGTTGGGCAGGATGCAGGTGCTGATCATGAGCGCGAACAGGTGCACGGCCACCAGCACCGTGGTGCAGGCGCTGAAGGCGATGAGCAGCCCCGGTGGGTAGTCATGGTCGGCGTCCAGCTGTACCTCCACCATCGCCACCTAGGGGGTAGGGGAGAGGAGGGCTGAGCGCCAGGACCATCACGGCCCACAGAGCTGCACTCAAATCCTGGCTCCCCATCAAGCTCCTGGACGTTGGGCAAGTCACCTGGCCTCTCTGAGCCTCAGTTTCCTTATCTACATAGTGGGGATAACAGGACTCACTCACTCAGTTTTGAGAGAGTACTAGTGAAGATAGCAGGTTTGGAGCCCAGGCTGCCTGGAGTTGAATCCCAGTTCTGCTACTTGCTCGCCACAGGTCCGTGGGAAAATCACTGAGCTCTCTTGAGCCTCAACTTCTTTATTTGTAAAAGCAAGATATCACAGTAGTTCATAGGATTATTTCAACGGTTAAGTGAGAGTCCCTGGTACACGGTAAACATCTCCCAAATAGTCACCACTGCTCCTAACACCCAGCCAGGTATTAAAAACCAACCACCACAAACAGTTAAGATGGTAAGTCTGATGTATATTTCACTATGATACAGTTTCATTAAAAAAAAGAAGCAGCAAGCAACCACTAACCACTCTCTCTGCTGACCCCACATCTGTTCCCAAACACAGGCTTCTCCTTCATGCCCTGCTCCAGGGACAAGGAGAGGGGTGGGGTAGAGAGATGAAGGCCCTCCCAGGTCAGGCCCAGGCCCTTTCTGAGAACACAGTGCACCAACCAACAAGGAACGCAGAACCTTCCCAGAAGACACAGAGCCCACTGCTACCGCAGTGTGGCTGGCAAGCCTGGGGCCATCTCCTCCCCCAGCCCCCCTAGCCCCCGCTCCGGGCCCCACAGCTGACGCACTAGCTGCTTCCCAGTTCCTGGAGACGTGTGGACCCAGGGTCATCAGGGGCACATTCCGGGCCTGCCACCTGATGCTTCTCACCTGGGCCCCTGCAAATCACACCCATGTGAAGGAGCCAGCTCGTCAGATCTGCGGGTAGTGGGCACGCTGCCAGGGTCTGCCTGCCGGGGCTGGAGGGACTGGGCCAGCAAGCGCCAATGACAATACCATTAGGCATAGTGACCCTTCATAAAGTGTTTGCTCTGTATGTACCAGGCTCGGGGCAGAGGGGTGTCCAATGCTGAGATGTATCCCCTCGCCCCATACCAGCCTACCCTGACCCCTCCTCATTCCTGGGGAAGGGCTGGGCTCTTTCTTTCCCTACTAGCTCTCCTGCCCGAATGCCTGGTCCTGTTTGCTTTCATTTCTTGTACCTCTCTGTACCCTGCCTTTGGCCTGGAAAGGCAGTGTGGGGCAGTGGATGGGGGCACGGGCTCTAGAGCCATGCTGCCTGGCTTTGAACCTTGACTCCTCTGCCCTTTCTTCGGCTATATGACTCTGGCAAGCTCCTTCAACTTTCTGGGCCTCGGTTTCCTTATCTGTAAAATGGGAATAACGGTACATGATCAGAGGATTGTTGTGAGGACTAAGTTGTTTGTAAGATACTTAGGTCCATGTAAAATACTTAGCGCCTGGCACAGAGTCAACACTCAATAAAAGGGAGCTTTATTATTATTTTTCAGCTTAGAAACCTCATCTCCAAACCTACTACCTCTACATGTAATCCTCTGGGGTTTCTACCCTCCTGCTGGAGAGGTACACTTGGAATGACAGAACAGCAAGACCAAACTGGGGGCCTGAGTCCTGGCTCCAGAACCACCCCTGCTTCCTTGTTTGACCTTGGTCGAAACCCTCCCCTCTTATCTGTAAAAGGAGGGCACATGGCGAGATGAAGGTCACAGGGTAGAGCTGATGTGGGGTCTGACACCTTTTGAGAATCTGGTGAAAATAATGGATACCCTCCTTAGAACATCCAGGTGTGTGTGTGTGTGTGTGTGTGTGTGTGTGTATATTTTCACAGGACTTTTCAGACAATTTCAACGAGATTCACAGACTCTTGCCCTACACTTGCCACAATGGATGACCATATGAACAGTTCAGCCCAGGAGTTTTCAAACCCCTATAAACCTGGGGCAGTGCCATCAGGATTTCAACTCTTTTTTTAAGATCACTGGTGTTGGGATGCCTGCGTGGCTCAATCGGTTAAGTGTCTGCCTTCGGCTCAGGTCATGATCCCAGGGTCCTGGGATCGAGCCCCGCATCGGGCTCCCTGCTCAGCGGGAAGCCTGCTTCTCCCTCTCCCACTCCCGCTGCTTGTGTTCCCTCTCTCGCTGTCTCTCTGTCAAATAAATAAAAAAAATCTTAAAAAACAAAACAAAAAATAAATAAGATCACCGGTGGCCTAATGCCAATCCTGAGACTTCTTAGTACACACAGGTGAGGGCAGGCCACCAGGGCACAATGAGTTAAGGGACACATCCCAAGACCCCCTGGTCTCTGTCACCAGGCCTGCTGCCCACGCTGGAAAAGGGGGGCACCCTCCAGCAATGCGTGCCTCCTGCTACCACCTCCCCACCACCCCCCAGCACTTCCTCTTCCTGTTTTGGCCTGTTGCCCCGGAACCTGAAACCAAAGAAGGGACAAGCAGGAGAGCCCGCTGCTTGGCTGCCCCAGGTCCCCTGGCTAAATTTATTCACTCACTGGAAATGTCCACACCCATTTAGGTACATCAGGCCCTGAGCTGAGCACTGGGGGGAACATACATAGGTAACTACTCTGTTTCCTTACAGAACAGATGATGTCTCCCCCTCTACGTAGCCGGGAAGAATGAATTGGTTCCTCCACTTAACAAAGCTGCTAGGTGACCCTGGACAGGTATTTCAACCTCTCTGTACCACATCTATAAAATAAGGGCCTATTTATGGTTGTTACAAGCATTCAATGAGCTAAAGAATATAAAGCCTTTAGAACAGGACCTGGCATACAGCAAGCTTAATAAAGTGTCAATGATTATGAGCAACATCATTATTATTCTTTTACAAATGAGGAAACAGTCTCAGAGAGGTGAGGTCAGCTGTCCCGGAGGTTGTAAGAACTGCTACTAAGTGGGAGCTCTGAACTCAAGTCCACTTGGCTCTAAAGCCCAGGGATGATAGGAGTGCTTTTCCCAAATGGATGCTGCTACAGATCGAATGTTTACGTTCCCTCTAAATTCACACCTTGAAAACCTAACCCCCAACGTGATGGTCCTAGGAGGTGGGGCCTCTGGGAGGTGATTAGGACACGAGGATGGAGCCCTCCAAGCGGGATTGGGGCCCTTAAAAAAGAGAGCCCCGAGAGCCCCTTGCCCCTCCTGTGACGGGAGGGCACACTGAGTAAACAGCAGTAGACAGCAGCTGTGAGTCAGGAAGCCAGTCCCTCAACAGATTCTGAGTCTGCGGAGACCTTGATCTTGGACTTTCAGCCTTCAGAAGTGTGAGGAAATAAAATGTCTGCTGTTTATAAGCCACCCAGTCTGTCCGTCTGTTACAGCAGCCCAGACAGACTAAGACAGTCGCTGAGGAGACTGATGGATGAGGTCTTGACATGTAAGCATTTAACACAGGGCCAGACCACAGGAGGTGCTCAATCAATTTTAGCTGAAAAGAAAAGCAGGGGGCTTGAAGCAGAAGAGAAAGAGCCCAGGGGCGTCTGGCCGGCTCAGGTGGTAGAAAATGCAGCTCTTGACCTCGGGGTCATGAGTTCGAGGCCCACGTTGGGTGTAGAAATTGCTTAAATAAATAAAATTTAAAAAAAGAAAGAATAACCCCTGGATACGGTCAGCTCAGGCTGGAGAGTATGGAACCCGCGAGCCAAGGTTCTGCCCTCTGGGGTGGGTGACGAGGTCGGATCCCCACTCTGGGCCTGGTCTGCCCCAGCTCCAAACCTGCGACATAAGGAGCAAGTGTGCCCCAAACCACACTGGGCCAGACGGCTACCTCGGCAGGACAGAGACCATCTTTTCCATACCATGTGTCACACTCACAGGATCCAGGACCAGGAATCATAGGTACTGCACATACTCAGCCTGGGGACACCAGAACCCACCAGCCCTCCCTAAGGTCTTAAGCTAGGGAAACGCTGGGCACTCCAAAGAAGAGGAAAGGCCCGGCTGCCAAGCTCTGGAAGAAACGCCATCACCCTCACCACCAGCCCCGACAATTCCTGGGACTTTGACCATACCAGCTGGCTGTATGTACCGCTGTGACACCGGGGACCAAGTTCAGCACCATGGGGCTGCAGAAAGGTATAACATGGAGAATGAACAGATGGCACATGTCTTGGATCCTGATAAAAACCATTCAAGGGAATACGAGCCACTGTTTTTTCCAGAATGCTTCCCTCTTGGGAAATCCCCCCACAGATAGGGAGAGTAAAGTCAAGGGGGCCTTGCGGAATCTGGCAGGCAACTCCCAGGGCCCCAGCTGAGTCCCAGAGAGATCGGATCAGATCAGATTGCAAGCAGCTTCGCAAGGTAAATATAGCCAGAGTGCTGGGCCCGTTAACCCAAAATAAACAGCTCCCAGCCAGCCAAGGGCCTGCTTGAACCTGGTCACATGGGGCCTAAAGGGACAGGAAGGATGAGAGACTGCCAGCCTCACCGCACACTGGTCCATGGACCCTGCACAGGGGCCACTGGGATGCCAATCTTTAAGCATGAGCCAAGAAGAGGACCACGTGATTCTGCACAGGGTGAGGCCTGGATGGCCTTGCCAGGCATTTGCCTGCTAGGCCCGAATGCCAACCACCTCTCCTCAGTCCTGCTGGGCTCCATGAAGACCCCTGCCACCTGGCGCCTGGAAGTCCAGGCCCTTCGGAGGCAGCCCTCCCAGGCCTGGCCCGACCCCAGCGTCCACAGTTGGGAGATCCAACTGACCTTTTTCCAAGCCTGGGCTTCACTGTTCACTCTTCTAGGAGGGTGGGTGGCCGCGGCCTGGAACACTAGGGCCGCCAAGCAGTCACCCAGGGTCACCTGGAGCTGTCTGAGCCTGCCGGCCCTACCTCAAATGCAAACCATCTATTAAGAGATGATCGAGGCCTAGTCTAGTGGTTTACAAACTCTTTTGACCACTACAGTCCAGTACTCCAAATATTCTACAAATAGATAAACATTTATAAAAGAAACAAAACTTTCCCCAAACAATACTTCTCCTTAAAGGACGCTGATAGAGCCTATCCATACAACAAGCAATGCACGCTGCTCTTTTGTTCCGTTCTTATTTCATCAAAAAAAAAAAAATGCTGGTTGCAAGTCACCAAATTTACCTCATAAGCCAAACGGTTTGAACCTGCAGGTTCTGGGGAGGACAGGCGTAGGCTTTCTAATTCCAACGTCCTCAGGTGTTACCTTCCAAGTCATCCCCACTCTGGGGCCTCCCAGGTGAGGCCGGGACCACTCACCCATTGGTGGGAAATAGGTATTGAGAGCTTACTATGTGCTTGAAGGATCTTGAGGCTCCGCTGGAGAGAGCGCAGGAAGTAGGAGGGCAAAATCCCGGCCCCAGGGAGGATGGCAGGCCCTGAACATTTAGGCAAATAAGTATTTTCAGACTGTGATAAGTGTCCTTCCATCCCCGCTCCCCCACCACCGCACTCACCAAACACGTCCTAAAGACGGAATCACACGACTTGTTTCCCCCACTCTACTCTTATTTCCCTCTGTTTGCCCAGCATTCAGCACTGGGGCTTGTCCCTCTAGGGGTCAAAACATTACTGGAAGAAATAAATGAAGGTAAGACCCAATCTTCAAGGTATTTCAGCCCCATGTCTCTGACATCTCTGGTGGACCATCCTCGGCGATCCATCCAGAAGACCACATTAGAACTTCCGATGACATTCATTTACTATTTAGCTCCTCCTTTCAACTTTTTAATTTTGTATTTTTATGTGTTTGTAATATACGTATCATATTAAGGCATATCTCATTCATAAGGATACCGATACTGAGCCTACGACTAACATTTTTTTTTGAGGGGTATGCGCTCAAAAATTTGGATGCTGCTTAGACCAGGGGTTGGCAAACCGTGGCCTCTAGACTGCAGTTTTTGTAAATAAAGTTTTATTGACACGCAACCAAACCCATTCATTTCCCTATCCTCTGCGGCTGCTTTCCACCTAAAATGGCAGAACTGAAGGATGCCTGGGTGGCTCAGTTGGTTAAGCGTCTGCCTTTGGCTCAGGTCATGACCCTAGGGTCCTAGGATGGAGCCCCACATCGGGGTCCCTGCTCAGCAGGAAGCCTGCTTCTCCCTCTCCCACTCCCCCTGCTTGTGTTCCCTCTCTCGCTGTCTCTCTCTCTCTGTCAAATAAATAAATAAAATCTTTAAAAAAAATAAAATAAAATTTATGAAAGGCTACCTTCAAGTCCCATTACAGAGAAACCTGGTGGCTTTTGTTTACAACCTTCTCAGTTTTACTTCTCCAAGGGACCCCACCCCAACTCCAAACACTGATTTCCATCATGCCACCTTGAGAAACCCTAGAGTTCTCCTTTGCCAGCCCTGAACCCAACAACCAGCAGAACTCAAGAGGGTTCCCAGCTGAAAAATCCAGAAATTCATGACAGGCACTTGTTAAGTTTTACAAAAGGCTTCTCAGCTAGGCAGGGAGCTCCCTCCCCTTGCGACATTTGACAAATTCCCATTTATAAACAGCCTGGAGTGCAAAACCCCACATCTGGAAGGATTCAAAGGCCCAGCTATCAACCAGCTACAGAAGCCAGAGGGCGGTTAAGTAGAAATGGTTCCAAGTCAGACCTACCAGTTCTTGAATTCTACTAGCTGGGTATCTTAACCTCTATGTTTCTATGAGACTTAGGTTTTTTTAGCTTCGGGTTTTTTGTTTTGTTTTGTTTTGTTTTGTTTTAAAGATCTTATTTATTTGACAGAGAGGAAGAGAGAGAACACAAGCAGGGGGAGTGGCAGGGAGAGGGAGAGGGAGAAGCAGACTCCAATGAGCAGGGAGCCCTACTCAGGTCTCAATCCCAGGACCCCGGGATCATGACCCGAGCTGAAGACAGACGCTCAACCGACTGCACCACCCAGGCGCCCCTTAGCTTTTGTTTTTGTTTTTAGATTGTATTTATTTATTTGAAAGAGAGACAGAGAGAGCACGAGCAGGAGGAGGGGCAGAGAGAGAGGGAGAAGCAGACGCCTCACTGAGCACAGAGCACCCCTCTCACCCCGTCCCCCATCATGACCTGAGCTGAAGTTAGATGCTTAACCAACTAAGCCACCCAGGTTGCCCCAAACCTTAGTTTTTCTATCTATAGTACATATCTTTAAGAGTTGAACTAAGGATTAAATAAGAATGAAAGAAAAGGGTCCAGGCTCATGCCTGGAAGTTAGTAAAGAGTAACATCATCAACATCATCAAGATTATTCTAGAATTCATCACACAACTCTTCCCCTTTAAAACCTTGCACGACTCCTTACTGCCTACGTAAGAATTCAGACTTTTGAAACAGTCAGTCAAGGCCCTCCCTGTAAGTAACATCTTCCCTGACCAGATTCACCTTTCTCATCTACTCCTTAGACACCCTCAACTCCAGCTACACCAGCCCCGCTGCCTCTACCTGAGACCCTAAATTTCTCATCTTTATAACTTTGTTCCCAATCCTTCCTCTGATCAGAGGGCTCTTCCCCAAGCCCTAACTCTACCACTTCAAGGTTTAGCTGGAATCTAAATGAGTTAACCTTTTAAAGCAGTCCCATGAGAACAAGGGTGAGCTAGATTCCTGAAAACCTGGGCCAGGTACATTCTAAGGGCTTTGCAGATACTAACTCAATGAATCCTCACACCAAGCCTATGAGGTAGGTACTACTATTATCCCCATTTTACAGGTAAGGAAGCCCCAAGGCCCAGAGACATTAAATAACTTCCCTAGGATCTCGGGGTTTTAAGTGGTAGAGCCGGAATTTGAACTCAAGTTGTCTGGCTTCAGTCCTCGTTCTTTGCTTGGTCATACTGAAGCCTCCCAGCTCTTTCCTCCTCCCACTCTGATAAGTCCAATTCCACAGCAATGGGGCCACACCAGGGTCAAGGGCTCTGCAGCTTACCAGCCAAGTAACTTCGGGCAAGTTTTTCAGCTGGGACAAGCACCTACCCTCACCAGGCTGTGTGAAGATCACAAGAGACGGTACAGGTAAAAACACTTCGCACAGGGGCGCCTGGGTGGCTCAGTCGTTAAGCGTCTGCCTTCGGCTCAGGTCATGATCCCAGGGTCCTGGGATCGAGCCCCGCATCTGGCTTCCTGCTCAGCCAGGAGCCTGCTTCTCCCTCTCCCACTCCCCCTGCTTGTGTTCCCTCTCTCACTGTCTCTCTCTCTCTGTCAAATAAATAAATAAATAAATCTATAAAAAAAAAACAAAAAAACACTTAGCACAATGTCTGGCCTATGGCAAGAGCCCAATCAACAAAAGCAATGATTACTATCCGTAATTAGCCCTGTGAGTAGAAACAGTAATTTCTCACTCATCTCCATGCCCCCTGAACTCTGAACATATCCCAGAGGCTCAATGTCTTATGATTTCAGCTCTTCCCTCCAACTAATTTTCACAGAAATTCCAAGCAACTTCTGAAGCCGCTCTGGAACCTGGGAACAAAAGGGTGTTGGCGGGCAGAGAACTTGAGGAGGCAGATAATCCAAAAATAATTGATCCCAGGTCGTGGAAAGCATTTTGTTTACAGCAACAGGCTGACCTTCCCAATTATCTTCTGCTTAGGCTAACGTTACAGCCTGTCCTCCCCAGCAAACCAAGACTGCCAGTGGGCTCACCACGGTCCTGCACAACACAGGGTCGGGCCAAGGGGGCTGCCTCTCACAGAGATAAACTGAGGCAAAGATGACCCGAGTCATAGCCCACGAGGGTACCTGTGGCTCAAGAAGCACCTGCAGGATGCTAACCATATGCTACATCAAGTGCCCCTGGTTTTGGAGTCTGGATGCTGAGCCCAGCAAAGGCCTGTTGTTTCTAGAATGCCGTCAGGAGTGGGACTCTTGTCTGCAGACTAGAGGGTCCAGCTAAGGTGTATATGATCAGATCCTGAAAATTCCTCCACCTCTTGTGGGCCCAATCGGGACTCATAATGAATCCTCACGCAAGTCCATGGCACAGCAGGAATGTGGGTATGTCTCCCCTTTGTCCACATGAGAAAACTGGCTCCAGAGCAGAGAGCTCCCCGTCTGAGATCCCACAGCCTATCTCGCCAGCACATCAGGGCACCCGGCCAGGCCTTTGCGCCGAGCAGCGAGTCTCTCAATCCCGTCCAGGCTCTTGGGAGACCCTCCCTCAATCTCACCTGCTGAACCTGTGAGCCTGGCAGCCTTGCCAACTCTCCCACCCTTAGAGATCAGAGGTCACATCAGTGCCTCTCTGGTTTTCCAGGTTTCTAGGAAGGAAGCCCTCTGGGGGCAGGAAGTTGGTTGTGCTGACTCACGGGCCAAGGGAGAGTAGTCCAGGAAACTCGCTCACTCTGTTTCCACGGTGCTGGGTCGTGTGGCACCCCTTCCTCTCAGAGGCTCACTCGCAAGGATGGGCGTCTGTCGTGGGGGGTGGGGCACAGGCAGACCTGCCTGCCTCTCGGATCTGTCTATCCCCCCCAACTCCCTTTTTCCCACAGATTTACACTCACAGCAAATGCAGTTACCCTCTTATAACTGCCTCCCCAGAATGGAGGCTGTGATGGGGTTCAGCCCCTCCCTGCCAGAGGAACTTTGGGGAGTTCATCTGTGGAGTCAGGAAGCCTTCTCCACCCTGGCCAGGGAAAATAAAAGTCCCCAAGATACACTCTGGGTGAGCCAAGGCCCACCCGGTGCCACTGCCTAGCCCCGCTTCCTGACTTCCTGCAGTGTTTTTTAGCAGGAGGAAGAGGAAGGTGCCATCTGATTAGGAGGCTGGCTTCTCGAGGACAAAGAGGACTCCAGAGGGCAGGGAAGTGCCACCCATCAGATCCTCACTTCTCCTGGAGTGGGAAGGGGCCTGGGCAGCTATGAATTTATGACCCCAAGAAAAAGGGGAACAGGTGTGCCACCATCTTCAACCCAGAGCACAGCTGTGAAAAGCTAATGGTGTCACTCCCTGCCCCCAAACTGTAACATTTTATTTTGCTTAGCTCTCCTGCTCTCTCACTTCCTAGGAGACGTGGTCCGAACATGTCCCTGGCTGGACACTGATCAGAACTCCATACGCCACAAAAGGCATAAGTGCCCAAGGCAGTTCTGGCTGCCAGCAGACTCAGGTTCAAATCCCACTCTAGCAGACTAGCTGTATGGCCTTGGGAAGGTCCTGTGGCAAAACCACCTCAAAGGATGCTTGAGGAGTTAGTGTGAAAGTTTAGGGGGCCTAAACAATGCTTAGTACAGGGTGAGTGATTGGTAAACGGTCAGCTAGTCTTAGAGATTCTTCAGGCAAAGGCAGAGACTAGTCTCTAAGGATTTGGGACTGACAGAACAGAATTCCACCATATGACCTAAACCAAAAACTACTGTGCCACTCCTTTACACAAACACAGATTCTCTCATCCCCTCTCAAGGGCTTCCTGAATTTAATTTTTAAAGTCAGAGATACTTCTAAGCAGCAGCCTTCATTTACTGATTCAGAAATCAAGATCCAGAGAGAAATGCGTCTGAGGTCACATGGGCTGCAAGGGGCAAGCTAGGAGAGCTCTTCCCCAACCCCCATCACCTGGCTTTTTCACTGAGGCCCAGTGTGCTCTGGGCTCGCTCAGGCCTTCTAAAAAGTTCAGGCTGCGTTGGCCCACTTGTTTGTAGAACACAGGGAGAGTACCAGACACACTCCCAAGAAAACACTAGGGTGCAGCCACTCCCTCCCTCAAGGCCAAGGGCTTAGCTCACTCACTGGAGAGACTTGAGCACTCTGGGCTAGAGACCTTGGGAGAAGAGGAGGGCAGACCCCACTCACACAGGCTGGTGTCACACAGTGATCATCATGAATTGTTCTGCAGGCCCTGCTGGGGAAGACTCCAGGCCTGAAGGCACCCTTAGGAGCAATTCTCTGACCAACCTGCAGCCTCACGCACCCTACCCCTCAGAGGCCTGTTTCTCACTCCAGCCCAGCCTGGCGTGGGAAGAGGAAAGGATGTCTGCCCCCACTCCCATCAGTTGAAAGCCCATTCAAGGGGAACATGTCCCACCCTCCTCCCCCACACCCCGTGACTCAGTGGCAAGTTTCTGGAGAAGAAACTGAGGGCGGAGAGTGGTTGTCAAAACCCTAGGGTGAGGCTCTCGGAAAATGCAGTGGGAGAAAGTGTCAGGAAATCCCCTCTACTAGGTGATAAAAGGACATGCCCAATACCTTTGGCCTCAAGTGTGGGGTCACAAGAAAAACAGCTCAGGGGTCCGACTCCTCCCCACCTCCTGACATCTGCTCCCACGGAGATCAGACCCTTTATGTCCCTCCTTTGCCCCTGAACATATGTGGGACTGTCTTCTTACAGATCTACTTCAAAGATCCCGCTGTTTCTCTCCACTTGCTGCATCAAAGTTGCCCATCTGAAGGCATCTGAGCCCCCCAACCCTGGACATTTGTCTGACACCCAATCTCCCACACCACGTGTCGCTTGTCGCCCACCTCTCCTCGGGTCCAGTACCTCTGGCCCCCTTCAGCGTCCACGACACCTTTCTCCCAGATCTTCCCCGCACCCCCAGCCCGCCCGGCCCGCCTGGCCTGCTCCCTGTGGGCCCCGTCGGGGCTGCGGGCGGGAGCGTCCAGGACAGGAGAGGGGGCAGGGTAGGGCGGCCGAGCTCACCATGGCGAAGCCGGAGAGCAGAGCAGAGGTCCGGCTGGAGGCTTTGAGCTTGGCGCGGCTCAAGTAGAGCTTGCGCCAGGACAGCGCCTGCATCGAGTGCTCGTTGAGGCTCATCACCTCGGAGTAACTCTGACCGATCCAGTCCGGGTAGGTGACGGCGGCTGGCGGCGGCGGCGACCCCGGGGGCTCTCCGTCCCCGCTGCGGCGGCGGCTCCGGCGGCTGCCGCTGGTGGTGCTGCCGCCGCTGAGGGGAAGCTCGGGGCTGTTGCTGTTCGGGGGCGGGGCGGGCTCCGGATGCATGGAGCACGGTGCAAAGGCGCGGGCCGGCCCGGGCTCCTGCGAAGGCAGCGGCCCCCACCCTCCGCCGCACCTCCGCCTCCGCCTGAGGCAGCCGCCGCCTGCCCCCCGCGCGGGCCGGGCCTGACCCGGCCGGCCGCCGACAACGATAAGGAGGTCGACGAAGCGGCTGCTGCACCAGCTCGCAGGCCCGCCGCACCGCTTGCAAAAGCCCGGGGCCGCCCCGATGCGAGCCTGCGCGCTAGCCAGCGTCCAAGATCCCTGGCCCGGCCTCGGCGCGCGCTACGATTGGCCGCCGCCTCGGGTTGATTAGCATGCGCCCCCGGCCCATTCCTGACACCCCGCCCACGAAGAGGTGGGCGGTGCAGGAGCGAGTCATGTGACTCATATCCTCGGACGGCACCGCCCACCGTCTCTGGCGACGCTCTGTGAACGCTCGCGCCTCTTCCTGAAAGCTCTCTAGGCCTTTGGGGCCTCGCGGCGCTGTTGCTGCCCGGGCTTCCCATCTCCTCAGCTGCTCCGATGGCCCTGCGCCCGGAGCTCGGACTCCTTAGTTGGGCTGCCTGAGGTCACCTCTTGGTGCCTCCTGAGGCCCATTCCCCCTTGGAGCTATGTGGCTCAAGGTGTGGGGGGAAAAAGCAGGCTGAGATAGAGTTCGTTCAGTCTGTACTTTCTGAGCAACTACCTGATGCCAACGCTGTTCTGATCGCTGAGGGGGGCGTGGTGATCAGGATGCCCAGGACAAAATCCCCTGCCTTCGTGGAGCTTACATTCGAGAGGGGAGACACACAAACACCAGGAGTAAATTATAATAGTCTAGGTGATAAATGTATAGAACAAATAAAGCAGGGTAAAGGGGGTGAGTAGTGCAGGGGTTGCAATTTGTAAAGATTATTTATTTGAGAGAGCGCGAGCGTGGGGGGGGAGGGGCAGAGGGAGAGCGTCCCAAGGGGACTCAGCTGAGCTGAGCATGGAAGCTGACAGGGGACATGATCTCACGACCCTGAGTTCACCACCCTATGGAAACCAAGAGCCAGATGCCTGATCTCCTGGGCCACCCAGGCGCCCCGTGGGGGTTGTAATTTTAATTTTAGAATGCTCTGGGCAGGGATTTTTTTTTTGGTCTGTTTTGCTCAATTTGTTCACTTAATGGTTCATCAGCGTCTGCTGTGTAATAGTCCGGCTTGCACCCAGTATTTTTTTGAATGAATGAATGCTCAAACCCATTCAGCAAGTGTTTACTGAGCATCTATTAAGTGCGAGGCTAAGGGATTCCGGGAAAGTGGTAAACTTCATGGACTCTTATATTTTAGTGGGGACAATAGGTAATAAATAAGTAAGTTTACACTTTTCTGACTTGGTCACATTTGAGATGAGACCTGAACCAGCGATGCAAAGAGCCAGGAACCTGCCTTCCCGGGGAAGGGAACAGTAAGTGCAGAGACCCTGAAGAGCAATATCTGGCTGCTGGAGCATTAGGATGGCGATTTAGCTGGGGAATAGTGAAGGGCAGAGGTGAGGTGGGGTTAGAGTCCTAGCCTTAAGACTGTCCCTTAGGATGTGAGCTCCAGGGGGGCAGGGACATTTACTGTCGGTTTCAAAACTCTGCCAGTATCTAGAATAGCTCTTGGCACATAGGCAGCGTTCAGTAAGCATCTGTTGAATGAATAAGTGTGGGAGAGACGGGGATGAGGGAAGCTCATAATTAGCCCAGTCAAATCACAAGCAGGAGGCATTCCAGGTCAGTGATGGTGAAATTTAACTCTTGTCACCACTAGAGAGCGCCCCTCCACTCCCCCACATTATGGGATAAACCTGAAGGCCCCTTCCTCCCCAAAGTCTCAGAGATTCCTCCGAGGCCATTCTGGAAGTTTTCATGAACACTAGGAAAATTGGAATTTGAAATCTCCCCTCACTGGGCTTGTTTCTTGGATGGCCTTTTCTTATCACTCCTCCTACTTAACCAACTGTGTTCAAAAACCACCTCCAGGGCGCCTGGGTGGCTCAGTTGTCAAGCGTCTGCCTTCAGCTCAGGTCATGATCCCAGGGTGCTGGGATCGAGTCCTGCATCGGGCTCCCTGCTCAGCCAGGAGCCTGCTTCTCCCTCTCCCACTCCCCCTGCTTGTGATCCCTCTCTTGCTGTGTCTTTCTCTGTCAAATAAATAAAAAAATAAAATCTTAAAAAATAAAAAACACCTCCAGGGGCGCCTGGGTGGCTCAGTCGTTAAGCGTCTGCCTTCGGCTCAGGTCCTGATCCCAGGACCCTGGGATCGAGCCCCACATCGGGCTCCCTGCTCCGCGGGGAAGCCTGCTTCTTCCTCTCCTACTCCCCCTGCTTGTGTTCCCTCTCTCGCTATGTCTCTGTCAAATAAATAAATAAAATCTTTAAAAAAAAAAAAACACCTCCAAAGAGAGACCTTCCCTTTCTGTCTAAAGTGTCCCCCATTTCACGTTCTATCACCTCACCCTATTTTATTTCTTTTGTAGTTCTGATTACTACAGTATCTGAAATCACCTAGTTTATTTATGTATTGACCTGTTTGTCCATGTCCCCCCACCCCAGCCGATGAGCACCCTGAGATCAAAATTCATATCCTTTTAAATCACTTCTCCAACACCGCCATGGACTCTCACCGGGTTAGACACACCGGAAACTCCCCAAAGAAGCATGTTCAATGAATAAGATAATGAAAGTGCTTGGGTCTGAGGAATCCTTGCTCAGACAGAATTGGGTATACACAACATTTGGAAGCTGATGGGGCCTGAGGGAGGCCAGGTCTGAAAGGGGAAGAAGCTGGAAGCTGGAAGGAGAGATTTGCTGATTTAGAAGGAACAATGGGATCTGGGAGTGGCAGCTCAGCAGGGGGCTTTGGGGCTGGGAAGAAGCCAAGTTTCCTTTCTCCAACTCCTCCATCATGCCCCTCCCCCCTCTCCTTCTAATACTCTGGGCTTTGAATCCTACCATATGCACAGAGCAGAAAAAATAAAAATATTATCCAGACTTGGTGGGGAGGCATCTGGGCAATTCCTGCTTCCAGCCCTTGGCCCTAGAGCCTGGAAAGGGCCTGTGGTTAGTAACCTTTCCCCACCCTTGCTAGAAACAGCTGGGACCTGAGATGCACCAACTCCATCCCAAACTAACCATTGGAGAATCAGGTTTGGAACCCCAGCTGCCCATCCCCACAGGGCCTCCAAACACCATATATGGCTCCCTCTAGTGGCCATGGAGGTGTGCTCTCAGCCTTTGGGGGTTTATATCCAAAAAACCCAAATAGAATTTTTCAATCAATTCTGTGCATGAGTGTATAGAGATCCAACTGAAAGGGCTGCTGCAATCCGCCCCATCACTGGGGCTAGTGAGCACAGCCCAGGGCTGAACAAAGATGCCTTTGAAGATGGGTAGCAAGCGTCCCGTAACATAGGGCGAAAAAATTTGACACTTAAGTAGTACTTACCTGGGGAATCTGGGGGGCTCAGTGGGTTAAGCGTCTGCCTTCGGCTCAGGTCATGATCCCAGGGTCCTGGGATGGAGCCCCGCATTGGGCTCCCTGTTCAGTGGGGAGTCTGCTTCTCCCTCTGCCTTCCACCCTGCCTGCTCGTGCTCCCGATCTCTCTCTCAAATAAATAAATAAAATCTTTTCTTTTTTTTTTTAATCTAGAGAGAGTGCACACAAGCAGGGGGAGCTTTTATTATATTGAATATATTATACTCAACTCCGGAATTGCTTACAACAACCCATGGTATTAATATCACCATTTTACAGATGGAAACATGCAGAAAACCAGTAAGTAGGACATTAAACCCAGTTGGTGAGTCTCCGGAATCTGGGGCTTAACCACCACCAAAGTCACACCTGCCCCTGCATCTCCGGAGCTATTTTGTTAAAATGCAAGTTACTAAGACCCACCCAGCAGTTTAGGCTTAGCAAGTTCTTCAGGCAAAGTTTGAGAACCACTGAACTAGATGGGCCTTAGTTTTTAAGTACTTTAAGGGTTTTACAATTGGTTTTACCAATGTTCCCTTGGTCACCCAGTTGCAGTGTGACCTTGGGCAAATTACTTAACCTCTCTGAGCCCCCAATCCTCTTAGCAAAAATGGAAATATTACAAATACCTATTCATGGACCCTGAATTTGGACACCTAGTCACTTTCCACAGGCAGGTTTTTGAGGGATAAATCTGATGCCCAGCTGAAGAGGAACCCTCCTGCCCCTTCTTGTCCAATAAGGCTTCAAAGAATTGTCCACTTTCATTTCAGTTTGTTTGTTTATTTATTTATTAAGTAGGCTCAATGTCCAATGTGGTGCCTGAACTCACAACCCTGAGATTGAAAGACATGTGCTCTACCAGCTGAGCCAGCCAGGCACCTCTTATTTCAGTTTAAAAAGAGAATACTTTATTGGAGCCCATCATGGTCGCTTGCTTCTGTTCACTTCCTTCTCTCATCTAGGCCTCTCCCTCTGACTGCTCTAAGGCTTAAAACCCCTAAGTTAGGGGCACCTGGGTGGCTCAGTCAGAAGAGGATGTGTCTCTTGATCTAGCGGTCATGAGTTCAGGCTCCACATTAGGTGTAGAGATTACTAAAAATAAACTTAAAAAAAAAAACACCCTAAATTAATCATAATAAAAATAATAAAATAATAAATAATAAATAATAAAAAAATAATAAAAAGCCACCATTTTTTGAGCTCATGCCTCTGCAGAACAGTGCTTGTATACCTCTGATAATGGGAAGCTTACTCCTTCCAGAAGCCATGCATTTCTGTACTGGTTATTTTTAACAGTTCAAAAGTATTCCTTGTATGGAGCTGGAGCTGGTAGAGGCCTCCCTGTGACTCCCACTATGTGCCACATAGAATGTGTGAAATCCCTCTGCTGCCCAACCCTGATGCCGGCTCCACAAGACATCTGGAAGGCAGCTTTGGTGAATGATCCAGAAGGCTCTCAGAATTGAAGAACTGGGTGAAGGGAGCTGAAAACAAAGTTAGATAACTGTCAGGGGACAGGTTGCACAATTCAGAATTAGGA